TCTGGGGAGATTTAAAGGAAAATTCTGTTATATTTCAACCTGGTGGATTTCTCATATATTTGGCAATTGTGACTCTCTGGGTCATGCTAACTTTGCACTCGCCATCTCTGTCGTTCTGGGTTAGACCCACTCGCACAAGTTGACCCAGATTTAGATTCCTACTGTACACAGTTAGCCGTAATGGTCCAGTTGACTATAATTTCTGTGTTTACTTTGGATCAGACTCCGAGCCAAGCGCTTGAAATGAGTCTTGTAAAAATCATATTTATTTGGAAAGCTGTAGGAGGCACACACGCTGTTGCACAAGTCATTTTTTCCCTGAATCTTTACAATAAAGGTGGTGAGTGAAAAGTTAGCACAACCCGCAGAGTCACAATAGCCACATTTACAGGAATACACCAGGTTGAACTATAACTTAAATTTAAGAGGGGGTAAAGTGCTTTTCTCTCTGCTTTTCCTTGATGTCCAATTTAGACTGTCCTTGTCAGAGAAAATAACAGCTCTGGCTGTTTATTTACCAAAACTCTGTTTGTGGCTTCCTGACAAGTGACCTTAGTGACAAGTGGTGGATGGTTGGGTGTAAATCACATATGGCTAACACTGGGGACTCTGCTATCTCAAAACAGTGAATGTTGCTTTCACCATGAATCTGATCTTTCCTTAAAGGTTGAAATCAAGGTCAATAACTATGACCTGGATGACTGAGAATCTTCACAGACATCTTTCCTTAACCTAACCAGACCTTAAACATAGAGGCAGATCAATTATACGGGTCATTTTGCAAGGCACTGAGCTAAAGTTTTTCCAATTTGGGTATGAATACCTGTTTGTCCTGTAGTTTATATTAGTTAGTTGTACATTATATGAACAATTCCATCGAGCTGTCTAAACATACCAGCTGATAATATAATCAGTGGCAGCAGGATCCTTGGTAATACATGACATTGGAGAACTTTAAAGGAGACAGTTCAGAATACTTTCTGTGCGGACCAATTCATTGGGATTGTGTGAATTGTATATGCCAATTCAGAGTGTGTCACTGCCATTCTATCGATGCCACATATAAATGGTATGTCACTCATGTTCCAGTGACAGATAACACTTCCCACTGGCATATACCAATAGTGAACCACTCTTGTCTCAAATGCTGATTCTTAGTGATTCTCTACTTGTGGCATGTTATACGGCACATTATAATGGTAGGTCACTGGTGTTCAGAATATACTGGTGGGAAGTGGCCAGTGCTAGTGGATCACCAGGTGTATGCTGTTTTCAAGCACTACATAAAAGCAAACACACAAATATTTTTATCCCCTTCTCCTTACATTGTTCTTTTTGTCTTACTTTTATTTCGGATAATTACTTGTTTTCTTTCTGGTTATTTACTTCTTTCTACTTACTACTTTCTTCAATTCATACAAATATCATACTAAGCCGTTGAGTCTTAGTCAACTTTTCATTGTTTGGTTTGTGACAGTAGACAGTTATATACGACAATGGAACATGAGAGACTTACAAATAATCAATAGAGAACAAACAATATTTGATTCAGCTTTACTGTCATTACACTCAGTACCAAATGCAGTACTAAATAATCTGATCAACAAGCTGATCAAACTGTTTTCTAGTTTCATTCAACAATCAGGGAAATCATACTTGAGCAATAAATGTATGGTTATGGAGTCTTTAAGCAGGGTTCATGATGTGGTAGAGACATTTAGATATTAAAGCTTGGGATACAGTTTTTGCTGCTCAAAAACTCCTTCCTGCTCTGGCATTTTGTTCACTATGGTTTGTTTAGCTTCCAGGCATCTTTAGGCTGAGCTATTTTCAGAGCAAGCAATTTTCCACTGAGCCTGTCACAGTCGAGGTGAAAGTGTGAGATTTTCTGCTCTTTGTCAGACAACTGAGCGCAGGCTCTCTCGGCAGGAGGCTGTGAATTGAATCATCAGATAGGAGCCATTTATTTTCAACATTTCACTACTAAATGTCGATCTTGTTAGAGAAAGCAAAAATAAATATAGCCTTGAGTTAATAGAAAAATGGCACTGTTATATCTGGCATTATGAATTCTGAAGATGTAAAAACAGAGATTTCACTCAGATGCAAAGAGAAAGGAGGAAAAGCACTTCAACCACACAAAGCCAAATCCTCTGGACATTTCTGTTACGTTTGGTTGAATCAGCCTCATCCTCTCTTTGGCTTCATTGTATACAAACTGGTTTGGTCACTGTGGATTTGGATAGCTACCAATCCATTTGTTCACTTTATTACACCGTGGCTCTTAGTTTTGGAGTTTTATTCATCAGTCATGAAAACATTGTACTCACCAAAGTAATAAAGGTGACATCACTAAAAATAGGTCAAGCCTCTTTTTGAGATGTTGACAGTAAAGAGATGACAGGAAATGAAGGATGAGATATAGGGAATAATATTCAACAAAGGTCCCCATCCAGACACCGTTTTACTGCTGGTTTGATGTACTTAATATTTTTCCCATTTGTATTCATATGTTTTATTTCAGCCCGTTCTTATCTCAAGGCGTCCAATACCAACGCTCAGAAAAAGTGACAAAATGCCGTTATTTGACGCTAAATGTACCTTTTAGTGCCTGTTTGAGACGCACCGGGTGCATCTCATAGAGACGCTTCCAGAAGCGTCTCCATGAGACGCTCTGGGGCGTCCTGTACAGACCGGAAGTGCTAGTTAGCTAGCGGTAGCTAGCGTTCATGATAAAGGTGTTGACAGCTCCCTGAAGCACCTACCTTTACCATAACCATCAGAAATGTTAGTGCCTAAACCTAAGTCACTGACTTTATGCATGTCGATCGGGTAACCCTACAGCTACACCCTACCTGTTAGCACATCGGCCGTTAGCCTCCCTTGTGTTGCTGCAACGTAGCAAACGAGGGCGTTTCATACAGATACCGAAGGGTATACCTTTAGCGTAAAATCCTTACGCTTTGTCACGCTGTCTGAAAACGTCAATTATGACACATTGAGATGAGAATGCGTTGTTTATTTACAGTTTAGTAAGCGTCGTAATTTTTTATAATGTGTAAAAATAAAGGTTAACATCTGACTTCTTGTATTTCTTGACCTGTCTCTCCTTTTTAGTGATGTCACCATGTTTCCACATCTCATCAATTATCTTGTGTTAATTATCAGAATTGATATGAATTAGGGACACCACTACTAAATATAGCAATATTCCAAAATATCTGCCAAGAGAAATATTTTTACATGTGAAACAACTGGTTGATATTGTGTACTGTTGTTAGTATTCAATTTCTTTGTCTGCTGCTGAAAGCAAGTAAGCTGTTCCAACTGCCTCTTACACCCAAAAAACACCAGACACACAGCACTCATGGAATGTGTTCAGCTTCAGTTTACATTAACCAACATGAGTTAACACGCCAGGTGACATACATCTTCAGTATATTGTTCAGTATTCAGTATATTGTTCACTAATTCATGTTCACTGTTGTCAATTTTACACTGTTTTAACACTGTAAGACATAGCTCCCGCTAATGACAGCATTCTTTGTTTGGCTATGTCTCAGAAGGATGCTGTCCAGGAAAAAGAACAGATGCAGGACATCTCTCTAATTCTATCCTGCACTGTTTTGTTTTTAGTCTCCCAAACGTAACCAGCCTAGTGATGAGTCGGGAGCGCTATAGCATCCACTGTGTTGACTTTTGCCAGCCAAGCAAGCTAACTTCCTTTTTAGCCCTCTGCTAAGACTTTTCAAATGTTATCGACCAAATGGATCACATTCTGATAGTGAAATGAGTCACTCTGCTTGGGTTGTAACGCTCAAATATATTGATCCACCGTATTACAGCCGCTGCATTGGCCGCTAGTAAAACTGACTTCAAAGCACAGAGCACCTCCTGCGGGCTTGGAGGAAATGCGAGTCTACCCAGCCAATCAATCACATTTCTTACGGTCTGCGTCGCCGCAACGTGTAGTTACACGTTTGGAGAGATGCACGTCAGGCTATGGCGTAGGCTATATCTTAGATTCGACAGAGAAGTATAAATTAACCTTAAGACAGATGAATTGGAAGGACCATAATGTCACTGAATCTTTTCTTAACTTGAAGATTCATAAAACCTCACAGGGAGGAAGTTGAGGTGGATGGATTGGTTAACAACGCATGTGATTTTAATGGGAGACCACTGTTGACCATCGTTTATTTTAAAGTAGTTATCTTTAGCCAAACTATGATCAAAGTTTAACCATAGTACTGACAAATAATGTCTAACCAATACAGGTGCAAAATCAGAAAACATCTGTAATCATTGCTAAAAAAATTATAATTGTATCTTTCCACCTGTGCTTTTCTTACAATGACAGATCAACATCTGCTGTAAAAACGTTATGTGAATCTGATTTATTTGCAAGGTTATCAAGATTCAGGTCAGCAAGATTAATAAAAAAAAACCTAACATGTAAAAATACAGATTTTTGGCAGGAAAGAAACACAGATGATTCTTATTAAGCAAAAACACTGGTCTAATCCAAAATATGGTGAAGGCTCACTTTCTCCGAAAATCCCTTCAAGCAGAAGAGCCTTGTGACCTTATGTCTAAAATCTCTGAAAGATTAGACAATATGTTTTTTGTATTGCATTTTTCATTTGCGCAATATAACCAACTAACAAACGTGCATTTCTTGATAATATTATTTCTGTAAAAAATTTTTGATGAAAATGCAATTAATTTAATCTTTTGGGTGGTGTGTTTGGGAACCACTGACCTAGTTAACTCTATTTCACACATCTCATTTAGTTACCTACCTGGCTTACTGGTCACATTGCTCACTTTAATCCATTAAGTAATTTAATCACTTCAAAGCTTAATTTCAGTGTTTCACATACAGCCAACTTACACCATTACTTTCTGGACATTGTGGAACATATTTGAGAAGAGCAGAACTGGTAAGGATCATTGATTTATTTCATCGGTCTTGGCAGTGGGAGGGCAGTGCACAATTCTGCTAACATATAATTTTATTCTCTAGTTTTGATGCTACAATGCTCTGGTATACCTAACATAGAACAGAGGAGCTAGACCAGATCTGTAGAACAATATCAGCCAGTCGTATCAGTCTAATTCAAATGTGGAATAAAAATGAAGGTACAGTATAGATGTGTCCAGAGATTTAGCACAGCTTAGCATTGTCATAGTTTGTTGCCTTTTGTTTCTGAGACGCTGGAACCAGTCAAGACCCTGTACCCATCGCAGGAAGGCCAGGATGCGCTCCTTAATGTAGCCAGACTCTTCATCTTCATCATCCATCTCCTACAGCAGCAGTGTGTATGTGTGGGTGTGTTAAAATTTAAAATGTAGACACTGGTACCTGTACCCTTCAGTGGTGAAAGAAGTAAAAGTATTTATAACACAGTGTATAAATATTCAAGTAAAAGTCAAAATAAAAATCTGACTTAAGTAAAGGTATCAAAAGTAAAAGTACTCATTATGTGGAATGGCTCATTGAAAAAAAAATGTTTACCATCACTCATCACTACTGTTGCAGCTGGTAAAGGTGGGGCTAATTTCAACAACTCTAATACAACAATACCCACTCCAGCCACAGCCTGTTCACCTCGCTGCCGCCTGGCAAGCAATACAGAAATGTCTGCTGTTGTATGACCAGACTATAGAGCAGCTTCTTTACTTAGGCTCTAAGACAACTGCACCTCATCCTTCACCATAGACAAATTACATGAAGCTGCACCGTGCGATTTCGCACATTTCCATACCACTACCCTGTATACTATACTGTATTTTTATAAAATATTTGTACAAATATTTAATTAGAATGGAATAATCAAATACAACTACAACTTTAATTTCATTGGGCAGCCTTGTGATTTAGAACGACAAATAAATGTACATTGAACGGTATCGGGTAGCTTAAATAAAGTTTTATAACTAGGTTCAGGAACAAAGACCAAGCCTCAAGCATATCCCATTTCCTCTTGTGTGACATTTACTTTTTGTTTCTGTGTGTTCCTTTTTGATTGTCTAAATGTGTTTCATCTGTGTTGTCACCTTGTGTGTGTGTGTGTGTGTGTGTGTGTTAGGGCTGACCCCAAATAGTCGAAGATTCGATGCTTCGATGGGTGGAGCCTGATTCGACTGTCAATCTCACAGTCGAATCTTCACAGCGGCGTTATGAAAGTAGGATGATACCATTTTGGCTCTATAGGGGAGCTCAACGTCTCATTTTACTACTGATTTTCTCCCAGTAAGTTAATATGTAGCCTATTATGATAAAAAAAATTAAACATATAATGCTGTAAATAAAAATGTGAAAAGAAAGAAAGTTGAAATAAATCTTTTTAAAGAGCGTGAATAAATCGAAAATGTCAACCGTAACCCTTAAGGTAGGGGGCGACAGTGCGTTTCAGCGTGTATATGTGTGTGTGTGTGTGTGTGTGTGTGTGTGTGTCAAACAAGGAAGTGAGACCATCAGCCGCAAATAGACCCGCAAGGAACTGTGAGGTGCATGCAGTGCCGCCGAAAACGGCATGCACGTCGCAGTGCTGCATAAGACAGTTTAATGGCAGATGAGCAGAGAGAAAAAGGTAAACAATAAGCCTCAGTTTAGCTGGAGATGTACAGTGTATGTAATAGTGAGTAATGAAATGAGATTATAGCTCTGCAGCTTCTCAAGATTAAAGCGGAGCTATCCTTTGTAAACCCCCCCCGACTGATTCGACTATCAGTCGACTATAGGCAAGACTTGACAATTCTGATTCGACTATGGAAATCCTTAGTTCAGCCCTAGTGTGTGTGTGTGTGTGTGTGTGTGTGTGTGCTTCTCTAGTCTTTTGTTGGTTCGTCATTCTTTGTCAAGAGTCCCTGCCTTCTCCTGTGCCTGTTATTGAATTTATCTTGGATTCTTTGGATAATTGTCTGCAACAGTCTAGATTTATTCGCCTTGTTTTGGACTGCCTCCATCCCCTTGGTTGTAAGTTTTCACCTTCAGACTCATGAAGTGTCGGAGTCCTCTCTGTCTCCTAACATCCAACCTTGTCAGCAACCTCAGCAACTGTCCTCAGCAATCCATGCTCTTCGCTTTCATCCCCTGACAACGCCAACATACTCAGGCCTTTCAGCAGCTCCAGGGGAAAATCCCATCTTCGGTGTCCAAGGGATGCCGTCCCTTCCAGATGCTCCTTTCCAACCCACTTGAGATCCAGACACTCAAATGACAGGCAATGCTACCATGACCCAAATCAACCATCCTCCAGTTTCAAACATATCCAAGTGGACAGTTGCTTGCCCAAAGCGCACACTCAGTCAGAGAAGCAGCCCTTTCCACCGCTCTGACAATAAAGCAAAACTTTCAACTGTTCACGGACTAGCAGCAAAACACCAATCTTCCTCTCCAAGCTTCCCGGTGTTGCGTCCGCAGTCCAATAACGCCATGACCGAAGGAGCTCAACTTCAACATGAACCCAGGTCTTCTTCTGTGAGGACTTATGGCAGTTGGCTTCCATGATGTTGCATTACTGTCACCTTCAGGTTTTATTCTCCCTCAGTGCCTATTCATTTTAACTCCCTCATCCCCCTCACTGTTTATTCATTTAAAAGCTGTCTTTCAAGTCCAGTCATACTCAAAAATTTAATAATCATTTCCATCCAGTTACACTGTCTCTACATTATATATACTAATAACATTGTCATTTACCTGTTTCTATATTCCATAGTTGTGTCATCATTTCTCATAGCATTATCAACTTCAACATAACTCGTGTTTAGCAAGTAAGCTATGAGAAGAAGCAAAAAGTTTAGAACGTACAATGTAAGTTCTTTGGAAGAAGCTAGCTTTTTATTCTGAGTATGAAAATCATGGCAGAGGCTTTGAAGAGACCAAAGAAGATGTCATGGGAAGCAAGGAAGAGAAAAAGAGAGAGTGACCTGCAAGTGACCGGACAAGAGTAAATATCAAACTTGCTTTTACTTTTTGATTTGAGCTAGAAGAGCTGAGACATGCCGAGCTAGCCATCTTTCCTTTGCTTCTTTACATACCTACTATGTTTCAGATTGAGTATAAGTGCTTCCCTTGTATCGTGTTATCCTATTGCTGTTTCCACTGTTGATTTACCTCCATACTATGCATTATTAATATTAATAATTCCTTTTTTACTGCTTTGTTTGCCAATTTGTCTGCTCTCTCGGTTCCCAGGATACTGAACATGCTGGGACCCTATTAATGTGATATTTTCCTGTGTCAAACTATGCTTGAATTATAAACAGAACGCTGATGACTTTTAGTGAGCCTGTCTTAATACTTGCAAGGACCGACACAGATTCACTACAAATTAATATAATGCTGCAACTAACCTGTTCAGTCAATTCTAATGCCTTTAACATGGCAAACATTTCAACAGTATATGCAATCAAATAATTAGATGTTGTCCCACTTGTTAAGTTGGCACAGCAACTGCCGTATCAAACTGTACAAGCTCTCTCAGTGAAGAGCCATCTCATTTGTTTAAATCTTCCTCAGGCTTCACAAACAACCCGAACACATGTATCCCTCCAACCCTACGTCATTTCCCCTTCTTCTGCTTCCAACTTTCAATCCCATTTTCTCTGGCCACCTCAGCTCCTCTCCCTCGATACCAGCCGCACTGAACAAACCCACGACAGCGATCCATGACAGTGAAACACACTGTTACCTCCCGTTTCTTACAAGGCAGGTGGTTCTCAGACGAATGGCTGCCGAATTCTAATCTTTCACTCCTTCCTCCACCCTCTGCGTACCCAGTCATAAGTCATTTTGGGGGTATGAATGGTTCAGTATATCATCACCATCTAACTGTATTAAAGTGGTCATATTGTGCTCATTTTCAGGTTTCAAATTTTATTTAGGGGTTGTACCATATTAGGTTTAGGTTTCATTTTCAAAAAACACCATATTTTTTGTCATACTACACATTGCTGCAGCTCCTCTTTTCATCCTGTGTGTTGACCGCTCTCTTTTCGCTATGGAGTGATGCATCACCCTTCTAAAAGATCTAAATACCTGGTTAAGGACTACTAGCCAGTCATAAGCAGAGTAGGGCGGGTCTAGACAAGCCGGTAAACACTGCTCCGGTTCAGCTGTACATGGTTCCGAACCAGCTTAGCAACCAAGACTGGAACAAGATTTCAGAGTGGTGAGTTATTAGTCTGTAACACATAGACCTTTCATGTGTACATTACATGTGAAAGGTCAATGTGTTACAGTAAAATGTGTACTGTCTCTACATCACAGTAACAGCTTTATGTTCATTGACTGTCTAACATTTGGTAGAGAGAGTGGGAATGAGTGGGGCCAGCGGGTGGACATCTTGTCACTGTGTGAATGCTGCAGCTCAGTGTGTTTTTCCACTACTGTTTTTGAGGGCGTGGCTGACTAGCCACTGAGCTCATGACATGTGTTACCATGTGACGCAACATGGTGGCGGTAAAAAATGCTGGATTACAATCAAGCTATTTTCAAAAAAGTTATATAACACAATAAAGGAGACGGAAAAAGCCAGAAAGCATAATATGACCTCTTTAATACTCTGACTCTGCAATTTAAGGTTAATATGTTTCTGAATAACGGTGTGGATAAACTACAAGAGTGTGATGCTCTATACCTGGGTTAGACCAATATGGGTATTTTCTCAAGATATATCTAGCAACAACCAATGTACCAACTGCCTGTGTTGCCCCAAGCAGATCTAATCCTGTCTTTCCATTGACTTTGTATGCTATCTAAAAGAAATCAAAAATTTGCTTCGTTCTGTCTAAACACACAGGAAGAATTTTTATTTCTGCAAGTTGACTTGCAACAACATGAACAGCTGTATCAATCTCATCCACACTTGTCTGTAATTTTGTATGTCACCGGCACACTCTGGCTCTCTTAATGTTATCTAAAGAGCTCTGATCGGATCAAGTGTTTTTCCAATTGAAAAAAAAAGCTTTCAAAGAGCGCAACACCAGATATATTTGAATCACTGAAGATGGGGGCGGCCATTCAGAGGTCTGCAACTCTACTATTATGCTACTAAAATTTGGAAATTGGAATTTGGAAACTACCATCAGCTTCAAACCACTACCAGCCTTATGAGAGTTCAAATAACCATATTGGTCTAAATCTGCTGCACAGTATGAGTTTACTTCACACAGACATACAATATTCCGGATGAAAATGTGATCAGACTTTGTTTAGGGCATACAAAGGTGTGTATTCTGAGTGCAGGTGTGTTGTGTTGTGTTGTGTTGTGTTGTGCTGTACTAACCTGTGAAGCGATATACTTCTCCAGGGGACTCTCCATTCGGCCCATGTTCAGTATGCCTGTGTTGGGTCGCTGCTCCGCTGGTGACTCCTCGCTCAGCAGTAACTTGCCTTTGAAGTTATGGACCACACACACCACCTACAACACACACACACACATATAAATGAAAATGGACCTACAGCCGAGTGAGATGTGTGTTTAACTGAATTTTTCAAGGACTAATAGAGATTCCTCAGTGGTTGGTTGGATTAGAAGAGTAACCCAAGTATGTAGGTCACATATGTGTGTAGTGACTTTTTCCTGGGGGTACTACTGCGGCTATGATGGATGTGGGTGTTGCATGAGCTCCTCAAATAAGGAGCAAAACATAGCTTTGAGGTTGAAAATGAAATAACCAATTTCAAGTTGCAGAGAAGCGATACACAGAAACTCTGAGGGCTGGAGCTGTGTTGAGTCCTCTGCAGTCCATTATATCCTACAGAGCAATGCAACCTAGGGAACTTTGTATAGAGGGTCATAAAGCTCGCTGGCAAACTTGACAAAAGTCATTAACCACAAGCCTATCAAGTTTCTATTCCCGTGTTTTGCTCCATGAGCCAAGAGACAGGGAGTCACACACCAACTGAACTGGAATAGAGGCTTGGTGGCCATTACTTCCTGGGCAGTATTTGCAACAAATAGTGTACATATGCTTGACTCAATTTAGAGATTGTATTTCTATATAGCAGTTAGTATAATTCTGGTAACTTCTAAACACTTAGGATCTCTGTCCCTCATCTTACATATATTGCTTACCTTAGGCCTGGAAAATGTCGAGGAATGTAGCAGAGAGGAGAGGTGAGTGGCCCCCCTGGCCTGACTCTCAGTCACTCAATGGAATGAGCATGCATGTGTTTTTGTGTACCTGCTGGGTGCTTTGGTATGTTTTGGTAAGCATCGGTCTCTCTCTGTGTTCTGCTCTCCTCCTCATGCTCTGGAGGGCGGTAATGGGCGTGGTTTTGAGTACTCCTGGCTGCACACTCAGTCCTACTACTTAGCACACCTGTTTGCCATCCTGCCATCAGCACTGCCCCTTTAAACCAGACCAACCTTCCAGACCTTCTACTATTTTTTTGAAACATTTAGGTCCTGATTTACTAACATCCCAAATAAAGAGTACTAAATTGTGTGTGCATTCTTAAATATTGCACGTGCAATTGTAGTACCTGTTATGGGTGATTAACTAAGAATTATTGTGTAAATGACAAGAGGAGCAAAAACAATGGAGGTGGGGGTATTTAAATGAGGGTTTTGCGTGTTTTAATGGTTTACACCATGGAGAGTCAGGAGGGAAAGCAGCCACTGCGTAAAAACCTTGTTTCATTCAGTGCGTCGTGAGTATGTGAAAATCATTTGTACCTGCCCATCCTGCCAAAGATTGCACTAAGTACTTGGGAGAGCACACCTGAAAAACTGCTTTGGGAAACCCCAGCAGAAACAGATACAGTATGCTGGAATGACCCAGACTCGAGGAAATGCCAGCAGATCGTGCTTCATCCAGCCAGAGGGAACAATTGTCCGCACCGTGCCCGCTCTGCGATCTGCTGTCCCTGTACGCCCCAACGCCCCATTCCTTCTCTGATACCTAAAATGGGTTGTGTTGCTGTTACGACTGGCGCGCTGTGAACAGTTGGTGATCGTTCCCTCTGGCTGGATGAATTTTACGTGTGATCCATGCACTACTGCAGCTAGGGGCTGTCTGCAACGCCACACAACCCACAAAACTTTCTAAATTCTTACATCTCACGGAGAAAAGAAGTCAGGTCGAAATGAAATTTGCTTTATTGGCACGAATGTTAATTCAACAGTATTGCCAAAACTAAAGGAAAATACAAAAAAAACAATTCAATTCATATAGTTCATAGAATAAATAAAATAAAATAATTTTATTTCTATATATTGGATATAAAATAATATTATGTAATATTTTTAGTTCCTCTACATCTTCTTTCATTACGGCTATGTCTTCTTCTTGCAAAGATAACAGCAGCCATCTCTGCGCAACACTTGCCGGTTTGCACCTTCCTTTCAAACATTAATTACAGATGCTGTTGCACTTACATGAAATTGCTTGTAGGCTTGTTAGATCACATTGCGTGTAGTAAATAAATGTATTTGCATGTTACCCTCCCATTACGTTGCACAATAAAATTTAAATGCCCCAAATTGCATATTCATTAAGGCAAAAGTAGTAAATAACCAACAGGTGCTATCTTGCACTTTTGAAAGACGTCATTCTCCGTGCACACCGTTAGTAAATCAGCAATTCAGTTTCTGGTGATATCAGGTTTGCACACGTTTTTTACTCACGCAAACCTTTAGTAAATCTGGCCCTTAGTATTTGCCTGCCTATTGTTCGTAATTCATTGATCTCTCTTTCATGGCCTCAGACCACCTGCTCAGACCAGCGCTGTCAAGAGCTACCGAGAACCTGGACCCACTCACTAGCAAAATGTAACCACTCACTACCCCCGAACTACGGACCTCAGTCCCCACCAACCAGCCAACCCCTTGCTTATGTTGTTTGTGCTGTTCTGCCAATAAATATCTCTTTGTTTAATATACCACTCTGGTCCGCATCTGAGTTCAGGTCACCGGCCCTGACAGGAGATGAGAGTAAAGGAGAGGAGGAGATGGGAGGAGTTAGTTTCCCTGGTATTAATAAATAGTATTTTTTACAATCTCTTTCCAACACTAATAGCAGTGTAGTGTTTTTTACCCTGGCCATTAATGAATCAATGTCTGGAGAGGCCGAGCGAGGCATTATCACAGACTCTCTATCTCCAAGCCCTCTAGTCACAGCAAAGAATGTACTGTCCTTTCTTTGTTGAATACAAGAAGAAAGAGAATGAGAGAGGGAAAAAAAGCTGCTGTTTTCTTTCAGCCACTGCTAGGAACCATGCTGTATCTGAGGTCAGTGATGACCTCAGATACAGCATGGTTCCTGTGCAAACCTTGATATATGGGTTGTTCACACACAGGCTGTATAAAAGCAGCCAACCAGACTGACAGTAATTAGGTGTTTATCATCTGGCTGGACAGAGTGCGGCTAAACTCATCTTCATATTTGGCTAATTCCTAACCTTGCATGCCACACACATTAGAATATTAATAAGTGAGGCAGGCATTTTGTATGCCAAATAGGATAACATTGACAATTCTCAAAATAAAATTTAGAATTCAAATAATGCCATACCTTCCCTTTCTCATAAGATCCTTGAGAAAGCAGTGGCCAATCACTTGTGTGACTTTCTACATAACAAAAGTTTATTTTAGGGCTGTCAGCATTAACGCGTTAATCACGATGAGATTAAGGACCAATCATAATGTGTTTTAATTGTGTTAATTGCGTTAAACGCGTGTGTCAAATATTCTTATTTTACACCGTCACTGGTGCTGTTACCAAAGAATCTCTGCTAAAAAGATCTTTGGCTGCTATTATTTTGACCCTTCGATGCACCCTTACTTGTTGTCATACTGCCACAGACACTTCCTACCTCCTGCTGCAGCCATGGAACAACACAGTCCTGAATGGCGTGTTTTACTTTAAGAAACTCCCAGACGGCTCTGTTGACAAGTCAAAAGCAGTATGCACCTTGTGTGAAATGGAATTAAGATATCACCGAAGCACTTCGTGCGTAAGCTAACGTTACCATCAACGAGCTAAGCATGCAGCTAGGACAGCTAATCAGGTTGATGCTGGCGGACTGAGGCAAAGCACTATTTTGGAGAGTGCAATTCATGTACATTGTCGTCGCGGGAGACAACTGTTGAAAATTGACTGAAAATGCACAAGGCACACTTTTTCTGTATGGCATATACCAATTTCAACAGTACAGAGTTATACATTGCAGGGGTTTGGATTGGTCAGGATTAACAGTTAAACTTTTACTGTATGCACTGTATTATACTGACAAGCTGACCTACAAAACACTAACAATAGGGAACATTACATATATTCTGATGAAATTTTATCTTCGAAAGGTGACTGATTTTTTTCATATAAACCAGTATTTCAATATAGAAAACAGTTCTATCTATTGCTGTATGTCATGTTGATCACAATGTATTATGCTGGTTGTTTGTTGAATAGTGAAATTTTATCATCTGACTGATTTTTTCACATAAATCAGTATTTCATTATAAAATACAGTTGTTGTAAGTCACTTTCTCAGATCAGAATTGAAATTCTACTTGTTCAAAATCCACATCATCAAGTCACTTGGGCACATAGCAATTTCTCTTTTTTTTTTTTAGAAATTGCTAATTGCTTTGACACACTTATGCAAATGATTATGTACAATTGTCTGCGGTTTCCTACATTATCAATTGCTTACTGTATGTCATGTTGATCACAATGTATTACAGTATACTGGTTCTCTGTTGAGTAGTCTTACCCCCTAAAACATCTAGTCATAAGTTCATTGCGTAATTCACTACATGCAAAATGGTTGAACACGTCATAATCTGCAAAGCATTTTTTCTACATACAATACATATTAGACTTTTTTTTGGAAATGTGTGCTGCAGTAAATTGATGAAGATATCTGTTGTGTTGTGAATAAGAATCTGTGGCCCAATTGACAGGAACATCAACATCAACTTGGGGGGTGTTTCCATTTCTATTTTTTTGTAATTGTTTCCGTTGTGCTATGCAGGGCTGTAAAATAGTTTTGTCTTTTCTTTTCTGCATCACAATGACATGCTCTGTCAACAAATTACAGTGCATACAGTAAAAGTTTAACTGTGAATCCTGTCCAATCCCCTGCAATGTAGAACTGACGAAATTGATCGATGCCATACAGAAAAAGTGCACCCTTGTGCATTTTCAGTCCTTGTCATCTAAACCTTAGCCAAGATTTACCAATACAACTAGTTTTGCAAATGTTGAGGATGATTCTAGAAGTGTACCAAAGCGACTGAGAAAAACTGTATTCAGTAATTTACTTGTGGAAAAAAAGTTCCTGAAATTTCAGTGCTGCAATACAGTTTTTCTCAGTTGTTTCCACAGTAACACTGGTACCTGAGACAAAATGACCCCAGCCTGTAATTCATGTACCAACCCCTTGAACTAATTCTGCTAAAATACAAGCACATTT